GAGAGCTCGGTAGGGGCAAGACCCCCCACCCCCATTCCCCTCTCAAATGTAACAAATCTTCATCTTGTCCACCTTGATAGAATTCCCCCCTCCACTGGGCAACCTTTCAGTTGTGCCTGTTTGGTTTTCACACCCCAAGGATTTTCAATCTACTCCAGCTTAGAAGTTATGATATGCATTATGGCCGACAAATGTGGGCTTTGATATCTATTTTTATATTTTGTATTTACTTGTCTTGATTAAGATTTGTAAGCCAACATAATAAAGGGTTATATTGGCTGCACCTGGTATTTATAACTCTAAACTGGATTTCAAAGATACAGCGTTGTTTAATATACTGCTCAGCCGGCGCAAACATTTATTTTCCCTTTTTATTTTTCTCAAGGATGAAATATGCACACGGTGCGCCCGTAGAAAACAGCACACGACACACACTGTGAACTCCAAAGAGGTAAGTGGAAGCTGTTTTCATTATCCTTTTATGCCCGGTATTGTGTTGTGTTTTTTTCCCCAGATACATGTGTCCACTCACTGTAATGAGCGACAACAGCTCTGAACAGTGCTCAAATGACATAACAGCCGAGCCTGGTATGAGAAAAACATACCTGTTAGCACACAGACCTCATTCATTTAGATTCGTCATAATTCAATTGGCGCCTTTAAAAGTTAGGGTGTGGGAGATTCATGTAGTTTTCTAAAAGTAACTGATTTCCAAGACGAATATTTGTATGGATTTCTCAAGCAAAATGTTTTTTTAGCTGAATAATAAATAAAATATCACTTGTTAATCGGTAATATCTAATAGATGTTATTTTTTTTTATTATTCCTGCATCTTTGTAGTTGTGCAAAACTTTGACATGATTTAAGATAGCTCCCTTTTCCGAGCTAATGGTGTTTGTCACCAGGTCAGTCCACAAATGAGTGTGAGGAATCTCAGGTAATGGGAATCGCCAATTACATCCCCATCGTGGCTAATGCAGCCATTCTATCGATTAGCTCTCTCACACACACACACACACACACACACACACACACACACACACACACACACACACACACACACACACACACACACACACACACACACACACACACACACACATACACACCTTTGTAAGCATTTTTAAGTAGTGATGATGGGGAAGAAACACAATTTTATAGTTTTGTTTGGAAGTATATAAAGTAAGCATGCTTAGTGAAGACTCAGAAGAGTTGTGTGAATGATTTTGCTTCAGGTAGGTTTCATAAACTGTAACTAAATAATCAATCATTGCTGTATGAAATATTTTGATACGTCTGCCTAAATTTTCAACATTTTTGGTTTGAAGCCAGATATCCAAAGTCAGTTTGCTTTCTATCCAAACCCTAACTTAATTTCAATATTCTACCGCCAACCTAAGAGAGGAAAATCTATTTACCTTAGGACACTAGAGGGAAATAGGATCAAAGTGTATGGACAGGAGAACATATTCTGGGTGGCTTGGCTCTAGAACCAAATCCACTTCCTCAAGAGTCTCTCTTTCCAGAGCGAGGCAGAGTCCAGATTTCCTTTTCCACCTAAAAGAGATTTAGATATTACTTCTTAATTTGTCTAGTATTCAGTTAAATCTTCAAAGATGAACTCTTACTGCATATCTGCTGGCCTAAAAAAAAAGTCCTTTTAATCATCGCGAAAGTGAAATAGCCCCAACACTGCAAGCCATACTTCCAATGTAGACATATATATAAATCTACAGCAATTAGATCTATCTCTGGCTGCTTTAAAGAACTTGGACTGATCAGTCCTCTGCTCACATTTCCAGTTTGAAATTGATTTCTTGTCAAAGATCAGAGACCTCTTGTCATTCCACTTCCAATCCTCAAATGGTTTCTCTGAGCCTGCTAACTGTGGAGCCTGTGCGTGGGCAAACAGGGGGAACCTCCACGGATCTTTACCCTGGGCACTCTGAGCCGCCGAGGGGGTAGAGGCGGAAATCAAAGGGACCGGGATCATTCCCCATTGGCGGCCTCCATTGTCTGGCTGATTTGGGATTGGTGGAGAAGGTGAAAAACTGCGGGGTGGAGCGTGGGGTTGGATGGAGATCAGGCAAAGAAACCCCCCCCTTTTTCTTCCCTAATCTTTATCCACCATTAACCCCAGTGCCCCAGTGTGTGGCTGAGATCAGGGCCATTGGTCAATCCCCCATTCACCGCCACCCAGAATATTTTAAAGTTAAGCCCCCTCGCTTAACAAAAAAAGTCTTACTCATCAAAGGTTTACTTTCGCTCTCGGTCCCAAGGATCTGCCGCAGCTCTCCGTGCCCCCTTCCCTCTACGGTCCACTGTTTTGTCTTCACACTTACGCAAGGGGGAAGGGAAGGGGAGAGAAGTTTTTGGAAGTTATCCAAGTTTCCATATTTCAACTTAATGAGGTTTGGTTTGAAAACTCATCTCTTTAGACTCCACTTCGAGCGATAAAATTACTAACAAAGCACTTATATACTAATAAAGGGCTGGCTTTTTAAATGCCAGTTGAGTAGCACTTGAAATGTTTGGCTCTATGAAACCTGATGTACTTATATGATTCTGTTTTCTTAAAGGTTGTANCAAGGGGGAAGGGAAGGCGAGAGAAGTTTTTGGAAGTTATCCAAGTTTCCATATTTCAACTTAATGAGGTTTGGTTTGGGGTCTGATAGTGCCGTGAGCAAAAGTGGATCGAGCAATGATGT